AATGAAATGTATATATTTTACTAAAAAGATTGAATTTTAATAGTAAAACTTGCTACTTTGTGGATAGAACATTAAAACCTGTATACTTATGACACTTTGAAACAGTTTATCTGTAGGTTTTTAGTAAAAAGGAGATTACTTTTGTATAATTAATGATCTAAGTTAGAAGCCTAACGTGGGAGTTGTGCTGTGGATGTTTCAGGCTTCCTGTAGAATTGGCTGGTGCACTATCTTTGATGCCAATGCACTCTGTTACTGCCTCAGCCTTATTCACTTCTTTGCTCTCTTTGAGCAACCAACACTGGGGTTGTCTATCAGAAGGTATTCCTCAAGTTTCTTTCTAATTTGTTAGATAACATTAGTAGCATATGATGATTTACTGAAAAATACTATCTACATATTTGTGGATTTACCTTATGATTTTCCTGAAATGGAGAAAATGGATAATTTATGAACCCTTCATCACTGCTGATGACCGTGGCCGGAAATGCAATGGTAGCAAAAATGTTAAAGACCTTCTGGAGTCACTCTTTTGGAGAGAGGGCTATTAGGAGTTTTCTCCATTTGCTTTTCTTTTTATTGAAGTGCGGTAGTAGGACAATTTTTTAACCAGCTGTTTTGAGGGTATCAGAAGATGATGAACAGATCTCATACGTCTTAGAGAGGGTATTTCCAGTTTATTACACCAGGAACTGAATGAAGCGCACGTGTTCATACTTGAGTTTCAGGATATCTTTCTGTTTCTTCATCGTTCAATTCTACATTTCAATTTGGGAACGTTGACATGTGTGGCTCAATGTCTATCTTTTAGGCAGACATCAGTCTTTTAGACTTAGTGGATTAGTCTTTTGAGATCTATGCAATTTTGAAATGTATTACAAAACCATTCCTGGATTACCCTTGCTTCTGTACATTTTATCTTACTGACTTAAGATTTCCGATTACTCTTTTTAACTTCCTTTTGGTTGAGAGAAGACAAAGCTTTGGTGCACTGGAATGAAAGAAAAAGACCATGTGAAGATTATTATACTAAAAAAAGTAGACAGCTGTCATACTGCCCCTTATTGCAAATATGTATTCTTATTCTCTTTGTGCAATATTTTATATTTTCTTCATTTTTGTCTCATATTTGATGTCTGATTTTATCTCAGACCAAATTGTAGTTATGAAACTATAGACAAAAGCACGTAAGATTAAAGGATGTAGATTTACAGGTGGTGTGAATGTTGAGAACTCGATGTTTATGCATTTAAGATTATTGTATATCATAGAAGTTTTTGCTAGACTTGAATTTGTGTTAACTCATAATTGGTCTGCTCAGTGCTTAGTGTTCTTATTTTTATGAAGCTAAGTTTACATCTTGTTGTCAGGATTTGCAACTCCTCTATAGCATGGCCTACAAGCTTCTGCCCTAGATACCAATCGGATAATCATCAGCAGCGTGTTTGTTCAATTTGCAAATGCAGTTGGTGACTGAAACTGAAAAGAATGATACTGTTCCATTCCTTTTTTTTGAAAGAAAAAATTAATCATCTTCTTTTGAAGCAATTCGGCTGACATTCTGTGAATCTCTCTCTCTCCCAGGAGTTAATAGATTTCTGGAAAAGAAATCGACATTCATGTTTTGTATCACTCAGTTTTATAGATTTCCGTATCTAATTATTTTGGTGTAGCTTGATTGTGTAAACTTACCAAGATGGTAGCTGATAACTGCTCTTATCGGCCAATTTATCTTGAGAAAAATGGCTCTTTTTCCAGTTCTGGAGAATATCGGAAAGAATAACCATGGAGTCTCAACATGAGAAGGTGAAGTGTTCGGCTTTTAACCCTTTTTTTTTTTCGGTTGAACATGAGTTTATAAGTTATTTAATGTTGTGTCAATTCTTTTACGTATTTATAAATAAATTAGGATTTAACAAGTTGGTTGTCTTATTTTTTTTTTAAAAACTTCATTGTTTTTTAAAATGTTATGAGTAAATGAAATGTCAAAATAAACTAAAAATATAAGTTATGACTTAGATAATTTTATCAAAATAAAGCTTTCGAAATGAAGGCTGTGTCTTATTCAGTGTAAACTAAAAAAAAAAAATGGAAATAACCTAGTTGACTAATGAAATCAATTTGGTTAAACAGTTTATCTGGTTTATTTAATTGTGGCTTAAAATTTATTTATTCAGTTCAGTTCTAAAATTAAAAATTTTTGAAGGGAAAGGACAAAATAAGTAAACTTTTTTAGTATTATAGTAATTACATGTGTTAATTATCAATATATATTTTAATATTCAGACTCAAAATTTAGTTCAGAATAATTTGATATTAATAAAAAGAAAGATGTATTAAAAATAATTTTATTATTATTTTTATGAAATTTTTGGAACATATGGATTTGTGAATGAGTTTGAATCAATTTCGAAAAAATGGGTAAAATTATAAATAAATGGGTGTGTTTAAAAAGAAATTTGAAAAATTGGGTAAAAACATTATTGTCAAAAATGCGGCCACGTCAATAGCATGGTGAGTCAGAGCACGTCGCGTGATAAAACACGCTAACGACGACGTCATGCGGGAGGCCACACGGGCGATCCGCATGCTTGGCGATCCAACAGTTCCAATCATGTCTCGTGCACACGGACGTTCCATATCGATGTGGGATAGATATTTAAACATCGCGTCGTAGAAGAACCGTAACCCTAGCCGCACATGTCCTCATCGGAGAAGAAGAACTAGCTGCTAAAGAAAGAGACCAATCCCCAGCTAGCGCCACACCAGAGTTACCGTCGAATGCCAAAAAAAATAAAATTTTCTCATTCCCGTTCGAAATTTGATTCCAAGTCTCTCTGTGGCCATACTGGAGCAAAATGGATCGCGAGTAAGTCGAAAACTGCAGACAAAGCCTGACGGAGCTGTCGCAGTCGAAACCCTAAAACTCCTCCGATGAGTCTATTTCCCTTTTCCGTTTCACACATTTTTTTACTACAGTGTTCACCGTCTTTTTTTATGCAGGTTAGCTGAAGAAAAAACTCCTGTCTCGAAATAGAACTAGCGAAACTGCTACACCTAGAGACCCCCCGCTGGTAGGTTCGGTTTCTTTCAATTTTTTGGCCAACCAAGGGCACATAACGTATTTTTTTTCAGGGATACGTATAAAACTGATTAAAATCGGTCAAAACTAGCCAAAATTGGCCAGACTGAGGCAAACTGCCACCGTGGCCAGTGGAGTCTGAGTCAGAGCATGGCGGCACTGCCGTGCCAGAACCCTAAAATTGGCCAGAAAAGGTTTCCAATACCGATTTTGGATTTTTTGAATATTTTTATATACGTAACGAGTATTTTAATTCCTGTAGAAAAAATTTAAGAAATCTAAAACCCGTTAGGGAGCGTAGTAGATAACATGACGTTTCGAAATACCGATGCAAGTAAAAATCTCTCACCATATTCTCTATTACGGTAAATTAAGGATTCATAATTGACAATTGTGAGTTTTGTAAAAAATTAGAAAAATCCTAAAAATATTATAAGTCACTAGTGAAATCAGAATCAATTAGTTTATATTTATCTTGATTCCCTATTTATTTTTTTATACTGTCTAAATTACTTACTACTATATTGTGCATGTCTAAATTGATAGTTTCTATAGTCTTTTCGATTATCTAGTTTATTTAATTTCTCATGTATTGTTTATTTAGTTATTTGATTACTCGGTTATTGGTTATGATAAACTATATCGTTTGCTTAAATACCGTTTAAATTAATTAATGAATATGAAATGATACGTTTGTATATTTTGGTGGTTGTTTGGATGGGGAGAATCTAAATAAATGAAAGCTTAATGGGTATCCTAAGAAATAGTGGACGGATCCGATATATAGAAAACCCTACCGTGGACATTACTTGAGTCGGACGGAGCTGAGAAGTCCCATACCGGAAGGATTTTGAGAGATATGTTCACCTTTATACTGGATATGGTATCGAGGTGATAGTATTTTTTACGCTCATTATTGGACATGGTATGAAAACGGCTGGGTTAATTGTCAAATTTTGATACTACATCCACTAGTAGATGGATATCCCTATGGACCCCCAAAGGTCCTAATAAGTAGGTTAAAAAGGAAGGATTGTTGATCCTATATATGAAATTGAAATGTCACATGGTTTATTTGTCTTCATAGGTTGATTTTGAAAAAAAAACTGTAATGGTAAGTATCTAATAAAAAGTTTTAAAGTTAAATGTATTTACTTAAAATAAGAGTTCTAT